GTTGATATGTTCAACGTTAAGTCCCTACAGAATATAAAGAAAAACAATTTTAAAAATATTTAAAAAATAGGAATAAACAGTTACATATTTTTACACAGAAATTTAGAAATCTAACCATATACAACTTTGCAGCAGGACAGTCCTGTGACATTTTTTTTCTTGTTTCTTGTTTTATTACCCCTTTTTTTAAAAAAACAAATATCTACTTGAGAGACAATATGAAAGTAATTGGTATGTCATGACAAGCAGTCATATTTAGAAGACCAGAATGAGAGGCATTCCAAGCATGACCTTATTATTACACATTATATTCAGTGCAGTTGCTTAGTTCACAGGTACCAGTATATATAGTTAGTCAGGATGAGAATCCTACCAATTAACTGCTAGTTTCAAAAACATGCTAAAAGATTCTCAGGATCATTGCCTTACGCATCTTGGACATACGAATGTATGGCTTTGCCCCTGTCATGTTTCCTAGCTTTTCTCCTTGCCCTTTCTTCATTGTCTAATCCTCAAGTTCTTGCTTTCCTTTTGTGTTATACTTTTCTATTTTTATTTCTTCTTTTGAGTTCTCATACTAGGGAGACTATACAGTATTTACACATGTGGGTCTGGTTTATTTCACTTATGAGTCTATCTTCAAGTGGCATCCACTTGAATATAAAGACTTCAAGTTTATTATTTTTTATAGCTGAATAATACTCCATTGTATAAAAATACCACATCTTTTTCATCCATTCCTCCAGTAACGGGCATCTTAGTTGTTTCCAAGATTTGGCTATCACAAATTGTGCTGCTATAAATATAGATACGTATATATCACTATGATACATTTTCAGTTCCTCTGCGAAGATTCCCAGTAGGGGGATAGCTGGTTTGAATGGGATTTCCAGTCCTAGTTTTTTAAGTCTCCACGCTGATTTCCATAATGGTTGCACCAGTCTACATTCCCACCAGCAGTGGAGAAAGGTTCCTTTTTCCCCACAGCTTCTCCAACATGTTGTTGATTTCTTTGATAGCCATTCATTGTGGGGTGAGATGGTATCTCAGTATTGTTTTAATTTGCATTTCATGGATAGCTAATGATGTGGAACATTTTTTCATATATTTATTTGATTCTTTAATTTTGTCCTCTGAGAAGTGTGTACTCATCTCAGATGCCCATTTCTGGATTGGGTCTTTTAATTTGGGGGCCCTAATGTATTATAGTTCTTTATAAATGTAGAGAGCAGACTTTTGAGTGTTTATTAGTCAAGATTTTTTCCAAATTTGTGGGTTGTCTTCTCACTTTGCTGGTAATCTCGTTTAACATGCAAAAAATCTCAAGAGGAGATTCTTTCAAGTAATTCTTTCAAGTATTACATGTGTGATTTGATTTTTGTTCATGACCTCTTCACCTACCTCTTTGTCTTCAAGCGTTCCTACTTTCTCTTCCAGGAGATTTAGTGTTTCTGCTTTAATGTTTAGATCTTTAATCCATTTTGACTTTAGCTTAGTATATGGTGACAGACCTGAGTCAACTTTTAGTGTTTTCGGCATGCCGAGAGCCAGTTTTTCCAGCATCTTTTGTTAAAGAGGCTATCATTCTTCCACTAAGCATGTTTGGCCCCTTTGTCAAAGATCAGGTGGCTGAATGTGTTTGTAGAGGTTTCTGTGTCTTCTAATCTATTCCATTGATCCTCAGGTCTACTTTGTTGCCAATACCAGGCTGATTTTATCACAGTAGCTTTGTAGTATAATTTCAAGGCAGGAATTGTAATGCCTCCTGCCTTGTCTTTGTTGCCCAGGATTGCCTTTGCTATTCTTGGTCTTTTCTGGTTCCAAATAAATTTTAAGAATGATTTCTCCAGGTCTGTGAGGTATGTTGGTGGTAGTTTGATAGGAACTGCATTAAATCTGTATAGCAATTCCCACTGACTTCTCTTAAAAGTTGCTTCTCACAGATTTATCTTTTAACTCACTAGTTCTATTAATTTATTTGTATCTGTTAGTATCATGCTTTCCTACTGCTAGCTGGTTTTTTGAATTTTTTTCATTTCTAGAAACTTATAAATAAAAGAAAATCTGGGCTGGGGAGATAGCTTGGTGGTCTAAGCACCTGCCTGGCAAGCACAAGGACCTGGGTTGAATCCCCAGTGTAGCAAGCTGTACTGGCCTCAGAACCCTGGGCGTGCCATGCAGGTCACCAAGACTGGGTGTAGTAGTATATGCCTATAATCCAGCATGGGTAAGGCTGAGCAGAGGATCAAGTCCAAACTGCGCAGAGACCCTGTACCAAATAAATAAATAAATAAATAAATAAATAAATAAATATCTGATAAAAAAATAACTTGGTATGTTATATATTGGCACATTAAAGAATTATTGTTGCTGCTTAACTAAGATTATATTTCTATTACTCATTATTTCTTTTAATAGTATACAGTTTATATATATGTAAGGTCTGAGTATCTTAATGTGGTCCACATTTAGTTTTGTATACTATTTTTAGGAATGAACATACATTATTTCTCTTTAGTACAGAACAGTAAGTTGTCATATAATTTTGAAAGCCATTTAACAAATTCTGATCTAAAATGTGGTTTACCACAAAATTTCAGGAAGTTCAAGAAAGGAAAAGCTACATGACATAACAATGAAGAAAAGATGAAAAAACACAAAAGTCTAAATCTTCCTTATAAAAAGTGATTTATTCAATCTGAAAAGAAACCAGAGTACTGTCTCCCTTAAAAAATAATTTAAGTTTAAATGTAATTATTAAAATAAATTCTAGTGGTCTCCAAAAATCATCACAATATTTTAATAGCTATGATGAAAACAAGAGGTCCTTTTAAGACAAAATTTTAATATTTTTATGATGAAAGTTAAGTAAACAGTTTTAGAAATTCCCTGAATGGTTCACTTTAAAATACTAATTTGGTGGTTCTGAACTACTCATATAATTACAGGTTGTGGTTTCATCTGTGAAAACCAAGTATAATATTAAGTACTAGAATATAGTACTTAACAATTACACAGAATGCTATAGCAGAAGAAGCTGGCTTTCTTGATGCAGATGACTAGGGAAGGTAAGCTAACATTATACAGTATTGAAAAGGAACCCACTAATTTTCCTTTTCATTGAAATCAACTGCCAAAAAGAAAAATGCTGGGAGTTATATAATAAACAAGCTATCATAAAAAGAAGACAGATCTTTTAAGATGTAATACAAAATAAAAAAACTAGCTCCTCTTTAAAAGCTTAGAACATTGTTACTGGTCCTTTATGCACAAGAAATAAAGGGCTAGTAAGTTCATCTCAAGATAATGATTATTGTTAGTGACATCAAAATAAATGTGCAAATTCTTTGCTATCCCTCCTTTCAAACAACAGTTCAACTTAATGTTTATGCTGAATGAAATGAATGGGTAGAGGGGCTGGGAGATGGCTCAGTTGAGTAAGTGCTTGCCTGGCAAGCCCAAGTTCAATCCCTGGTTCTGAAAAAAAAAAAAAAAAAAAAAAAAAAAAAAGAATGGGTAGAAAAGACTCTACACCCTCCACAGAAAAAGCACATCGTCTTTCAACATGCACTCATTGTGAAGGTGCTCTTCTTTAGAACTTAGCTACCACACTAACGAAGCCCAGGCCAAATGGAGACCCTACGTTTCATGGTGTTTGTTTCACAGCAACAGATAAACCAGTAGAGTTACCTAGGTTTGCATGTAATATGGAAGAATTTTTTTCAAACAAAAAAATAAGCCTTTATATAAACTAACCACAGAGTATCTTCTATTTTAGAAGTTTAAAAAGTTTTATTGAATACAATAAAACATCTTTAAATTGAAATCTTTAAGTTCAAAATCTGATATAATTTAAATTCTAAATTTTATAGGGTTTTAGTTACTGTCATTAAAGTACTGTAACTCTGGAAAGCAGTTCAAGTGATCTGTACAAGAAAACAAGAAGCTAAAGCATTAAGAAAATAAATTGTTCTGAAGTACTCAAAAAGTGTATAGCACTATATATAAAATATTTAATAGTTATTCAATATTAAATGAACATAAGGCACCTCAAGTTCTTGTCACTTTTTACATACTGATTAGCTTAAATTCTTATTTGGCAAATTGATCAGTTTGGTTGAAGCAAGTCATTTGTGAATATCAGTTTGTATGCTTTCCCATGAGTCTCTAGAGGACTTGTCTTGTTCATCTCTGTACCCCTAATAAGCATAGCACAATGCTGTATGTCAAGTATTATATTTGACCAATATCTATATAAACAATCACACCACAATAAAGTACTTCAAATTAGCCCAATTGTCTCATAGTTTTCTAATTTGTTCTCCCTCACAATTCATCCATGCTAGTTGATATGCTCCAAAGAGCACACTATATACTCATTTTTACTTTCACAAATTTATTTATAACAAAGACAAGGATACAAAGGCCTTCCACACATGACTGATAATCTAGGATGCTGAGCCACTGACTCGCTTTGGGATTCTGGCATACTGCTATGCAGACCACACACACTGCATGAGAAAGAAGCGACCCTTGGGCTACGTGACCCAGCAGCCTGGTCATGCCCTCCTCTGGCTCAAGACACAGGGACCTGATTCATATGATTTCTGTTCTCCTGAAAGGCAGTAATTTGTACATCAACATTATTTCAAAAGATTACAAGGAGAGGCTTTTTCTGAGAATAGAAAAAAAAATCAATATATCTAATTTTAGCTTATTCCTCTAGCTTAGTTAGAACAGATATCAAACTTTATAATGCCTATGTTCCGTCTTACATTTCTCACTAAAGCGAAAATTTGAGAAAATTTACTTTTAAGATTAATAACTATCAGGCTGGAGATATAGCTCAGTGGCACAAGTATCTGCCTGGCAAACGCAAGGTCCTCAGTTCAATTCCTGGTACTCCCCCAAAAAGCTTAAGTAATAATAAGCAATTCCTTTTCAATATACATTTATATTTAATTACTGCTATAAATTAAGATAACCACAATTTTTCTGGCTTCAGTCTAAAAAGAAAATTTATAGTAACAAGTTACAAGGTTTAACACAGATTTCCTGGTCATATGGCCCTTGGCAAGCCACTTTGATCTCTGCCTCACTCGTATCAAATAGGCAACTGCACCTTTCCAATGTACTTTCTACACAGGCAGACATAAAATCACATGGTAATACTTTCCTAAAGCTGCTAAGTACACATAAAGTAAAATACATAAGGACTTGTATCAGCTACTTTCTAATATTTGACATATATTTATATAATTTAATTAAAAGATCACATTCATACTACAAAATTCAGTTATACAAGGTGAACTAAAATAAGCAAAGCCAGTCATAATAAATCCATTCACTCATGTGCTCATTTAATTACATTAAAAATAATTATAAAAATAGGTAAATTTTTGTGAAAATATTTGTTTTTATTGTAACTTAGGAATTCTTGCCCACATCAACAGACTGTCTGGCATCAGCCACTGCGTCAGGTACTCGAACAGTCATATTTTCCATCGATTTGGTCAAACAGATTTGGCAGCCCAACCGGGACCTGTACAGGAAAGAGAAGAGATGGTTTAATATTAAGTATCTATCACTCAAAGGAAGGCAGCTTTTTAGGATATGTCTACATTTTCTTGCACAAAGAAGTTAGGAAATAAGTAATGTTTTAAATTTTCATCATGCTGAAACAGATATAGTTATCTCTATCCATCAGAGGGGAACACAGGTAAGTATGAACAGGTAAGGATGAAAGGCAAGCCAGTGTGCCAAAGCTGCATTCTGGCCATCAGTTTCTATTACCCTCTTATTGATTCATCAGAAGGACAACTTTCTGGTCCAAGAGCTGATAAACAATAAAAGAATCAGAGGGCACGGCGCTGGAAAGGAGAACCAGCAGGGCCAAGAAAACAATCAATTCTGGGATAGTTATATGGACTATAAAAGAAAGGTACACTTTTAAATGCCTTTCACGCAAGAAATCTGGAATAATATATACCCAAAATATCAACTGTACAAGCCTATCTTCCCACATTTTTAACATCTCTAAGATTATGTTAAAAATAATGGCACACAGGGCTGGTGAGATGGCTCAGTGGTCTAAAGCACCTACTTAGAACAAGCTTAGCAAAGCACAGGGACCGCGGTTCAATCCCCCAGCACCA